TGGCAACCACCAGAATTCAGAGGAGGTGAAGATAGATGCCTCCCTGGAGTCTTTGGAAGGAGCATGGCCCTGCCCACACCCTGATTTTGGACTCCCGGCCCCCAGAACTACCAGAGAATAAATTTCTGTTGCTTTAAGCTACCCACTTTACAATGCTTTATTAAGGCAGTCACAGGAAACTAACACAGTCACAGAGGTAAAAAAAAATTAGTTATTGAAGATAAGTGGCAAATTTATGTGTTTGGGGGATGAGTAGTGAGAGATGAGTAGATAATGGAGTAGTTCTTTCTATCAAGGGTACGGAAGTTAGTAAAAAAGTGCCATTTATTTTGAAGCTAAACCCCAGTCTCTTCAGGTGGGCTCTGAGATTAGAGAGGCACAGTCTTGTGTAGACATCAGGTCATCAGCCAAATGTAACAGACACTCAATTTCTGCCTAATAAGGACACAGCTTTCTCTTTTATAAGCTTTAAAATGCGAACTTCTATTTTCATGTCATTAATAGTTTCTTCTAACTCCCGTCTGTCAGTGTGTTGTACTGTGGTGGCTTGCATGTCTCTGTGAAGCCAGAAGTTCTGCCACCAGTACTTCACACACCAGCAGGGTCACCCGTGGTGGACAGGTTTCAGCGAAGCTTCCAGACTAAGGCAGACTAGGAGGAAAGACCTGGCAATCTACTTCTGAAAACTAAAACCTAATTACAAAAATTAATGCCAGTGGTTCACAACAGAACATTGTCTGACATAGTGCTGGCAGATGAGCTCCTTGTTTGGAAGGCTCTCAAAGAACACAGTGGCCCCAGCAGTGGACTGGAGCATAGTAGCCATCATGAAGAGGGCGCAGGACCAGGCAGTGTTTCATTCAGTTGTAGATGGTGTCAACATGAGGGAAAGCTGAGTCCACAGCAACTAACAGTAATAACAACAATCTTTCTTGGTAACCTGAGTTCCAGGTGACTCCATTTTTCTGGGATCACCTGTTTCTTCAACACACACACAAAATTGCCTGATTTCTCATCCCATGAACTGTGAGAAGTCCAGTTGTGAGCCCAGTATTCTCCATACTGCTGGTGCTGCCCCCCTGGCCCTGGCTCCAGGTGTGGCATCTTACACAGTCGGGATACTGTTCCTGCTCTTTCAGCATTTCACTTGGGGTAAAATCATGAGCTCACCCCCTCACGTAAGCTAATGTGATGCTGCTGTACTGTTTGATCATTAGTGCATTTTGGGGAATAATGGAAGAGACAGCTCCAAAGAGTAATCAATTAAAATGTATCTTCAAGCACTTGCTAATATTCACCAGCCACTTGCCTGCCATCTTTCTGTGTCTTATACTTAAGATGTGTCTCTTAAGTAGTAGCCATTTGGATCGAGTTGATTCCTACTCATAGAGACCCTGTAGGACAGAGTAGAACTCCCCCATAAGGTTTCCAAGGCTGTAATCTTATGGAAACACACTGCCACATCTTTCTACCGAGGAGTGGCTGGTGGGTTCAAATCGCTGACCTTTCAGTTTGCCGCCGAGTGCTTTAACCACTGCTTCACCAGGGCTCCTTATAAGTAGTACCGAGTTATGTTTATTTAATCCAATGGGAAATATCCGTAAAATAATTGGAGTATTTAGTCAATTTAAATTTGGTGTAATTCCTGATGTGGTGGGTATCTACCGGAGTGTGATGTATTTTCTTTGTCTCGCTTGTTTTAAGTTTTCTTTGTCTTGTCTTTAGTGTCTTATTTTGGATTAATAAAGGGTTTCTTTTACTCTTCTTTTTGTTGCTACTGTGGAAGTCGTGTCCATTCTTGCCTTACTGCAGTTTAATATTGGTACCTCCCACACCACACTAGGGCCTCAGAGCAAGAACTCCTTACACCCCCTCTCAGCTTGTGGGCTAGTTTTGGTGTGTATTTTAATTCTACGCGCATTTTAGATCCCGGAAGTCATTGACCGCATTAGTTTGTACCAACAATATTAATTTATGTTTCCCTACATTTACGTAGACGTAAGTCTCTGGGTGGCACAAATGGTTTACCCTCCACTACTGACTTAACGGTTGGTGGTTTGAGCCCACCCTGCATTGCAGAGGAAGAAAGCCCTGGTAGTCTGCTTCCATTAAGATTAACAGCCAAGAAAACCCTATGGAGCAGTTGTACTGTAACTCATGAGGCCGCCGTGAGTCGGAATCAACTCAGTGCCAATGGGTTTGTTGGTTTCTTTTTATACATAAACATGTGGGCATTTAATTCATTAAAAATTTGATTTCTCTATTTCATTTCTTCAAGGGGAATTTAACAAAGTTAAAGGATGATATTTAAGTAAAAAGCAGTCTTATTAGTCTCTTAAGTACCAATAAAATCTCCGTTGGCAGCCCAGTATCAGCGCTTGTGACAAGGGTTGGCATCCGTGCCCTAGACCCCACTGCCTCTTTTAACTTTTAAGAAGGATGATGGAGATGCCCATCTGAGGGGCAGTGGGTTTGATTCTATCTGCTAACCTGAATAGTGCCCTTGGGAGTGCGTACCACCCAGCAGGTGCTCCTTAGCTCTCACTTGCCTTTCTGTTATCCCAGGGGCCCTGCGTGTGGCTTTCTCCAGACACCAGCCGGTGCTTCTGTCCTCAGCAGACTCTGAGTGCATCGTGTTGGCATCATGCTGGGTTAAGAAGTATGTGATATCAGGGACTGTCTCAGTCATCTAGTGCTGCTATAACAGAAATACTACAAGTAGATGGCTTTAAAGAACAGAAATTTATTCTCTCATGGTTTAGGTGGCTAGAAGTCCGAATTCAGGGCACCGCCTCCAGGGGAAGGCTTTCTCTCTCTCTCTTGGCTCTGGGGGAAGTCTTGTCATCAGTCTTCCCCTGGTCTATGAGCTTCTCTTCAAAAGGACCCTGGGTCCAAAGGATGAGCTCCCTCTTGGTTCTTCTTTCTTGGTGGTAGGAGGTCCCTATCTCTCTGCTCCCTTCTTTCTCCTTTTATCTCTTGTAAGATAAAGTTGATGTTGGCCACACCTCAGGGAAACTCCCCTTGCATGGGATCAGGGCTGTGACCTGCATAACGGTGTTGTATCCCACCCTAATCCTCTTTAACATAGCCTAACCTTGCCTCATTAACCACAGGCAGAGATTAGGGTTTACAATACATAGGAAAACTACATCAGATCATGAAATGGAGGACCACCACACAGTGTTGGGAATCATGGCCTAGCCAAGTTGACACACATTTTTGGGGGACACAAGTCTATCTTAAAAAGGACCTTTTCTCATTCTTCACATGAGAATCATCAGTGCTTACCAAGGGACCTGGTGGATGTTTGCCACATAGATGAATGTGTGAGTAGATGAACAAATTATCAACACTTGGTTACACCAGTGAATAGGAAAACACTCCCTAGTGTGGACGGAAGTCCACCCACAGGTACACTGGGTCTTCTGCTGACTTTCCACTGGGCTTCCTTAGAGCAGGCCGGCGGTAGGCTATGGTGAGGGATGTCCCAGCTCCATTAAGATGGACTTCTAATCTACCCCCTGCTCCCACGGGATGTGCCCTCGGAAGAGGAGGAGGGCGAAGAGAATGGATGCATGACACTGCCAACCCGGTGCTGTGGCCGGCTTGCACTCCACCCCTACTTTCTCACTACTTCGTCCACAAGAACGAAAAAAAATAAAGAAAAGGAGAGAGAAATAAATGTAGGAGATGGAGACAGTTTTTCATTCCACTGATGTTTATTCATCAAGCCAAATGCCGGTGGCTAAACTTCACAACACCTGAAGAATATAGTGTTTTACACAATAGGTTAACATTTTAAATGCTCTAGGGTGAATATAAACTTTCAAATATTGCCTTTCTGTGATATATTTCCTTAAAAAAAAATACTTTGTATTTTCTTTGAAGAGAATGAAAAAGAGGCACTCTAACTAAAATAAATACATATTAAAATAAGTGCAATGTTCCACACTCATATTTATTGCTCACTGGATTTATTGAATTTAGAGACCAAAAATTATTAGAAAAACCCCTATGTTATCATTTCTTTGTGTTCTACCTGTAGCTTCTTATAGGTGACATTTTACCACAGCTAATATAAGAATTATTGACGCCTTTGAATTGTGGTATTGGCAAAAAATGAATATATTTATGGACTGCCAGAAGAACAAACAAATCTGTCTTGGAAGAAGTACAACCAGAATGCTTCTTAGAAGCTAGGATGACGAGACTTTGTCTCATGTACTTTGGGCATGTTATCAGGAGAGACCAGTCCCTGGAGAAGAACATCATGCTTGGTAAACTAGAGGGTCAGTGAAAAAGAGGCGGACCCTCAATAAGATGGATTGACACAGTTGCTGCAACGATAGACTCAAACATAGCAACAATCATGAGGATGGCGCAGGACCGGGCAGTGTTTTGTTCTGTTGTACATAGGGTTGCTATGAGTCGGAACTGACTCGATGGCACCTAATAACAATAAAAAAGCTATAACAGTATTTCTGACTTCATCTTTATAATAGTTTAGAATCACTAAAGGGGATACAGTGTTCATCATAGAGAAAATGAAATATTTGAAAATATTTGGCTATCTTATTTGGAGAATGTGCAATATTGGTTGAATTTATAAAGTGCTATAAAACTTGTACTTTATCTCTCAAATGAGTGAGATGGGGAAACTGAGTATTTCCTATCTTAGACTGACCACTGGATTCTGGTATTTTAATATTATTTCTGCTTCACTACTTTAAAATAGATAAATAATATCCTTGGGAAAATAATATTTCCTTCCTTTATTCTTCACACCAAAGAGTAGCTACTTGAAACTCAACAAATAAGAAGTAATATCACACTCTAATCTTAGAAAATTTTATTTTTTGCTTTATGTATTTTAGAATCTGTATAATAACTTGCAAATAGTCCCCCAAATTGGCCCCACTACAAAAAAGTGATAATTTCAAATGGGTCTCTTATTTTAGTTATTTGAAACGTCTTTTTGTCTCCTCATCATGCTGTTTTAGGAGCGTCTTCTCCTCTCCTTGCTGCCAGCTCACATAGCCATGGAAATGAAAGCCGAGATCATCCAGAGGCTGCAGGGCCCCAAAGCGGGCCAGATGGAGAACACTAACAACTTCCACAACCTGTACGTCAAGAGGCACACCAACGTCAGGTACGAATCTCTGTCCATGGTTGTCAGCAAGTCTGGGGAGTCCGCTTGCCAGATGGTGACATTTTAACTGGTGTGCACACATTACAATGTGATGACATCGCCTATGTAACTGTCAGTTCTTTGCAAGTAGAGTAGTTACTGCTCTGCTCACACGTATGGTGCCTTCATGTGAAGATAAGGAAATAAGATCCTCTTTACTTTATTGGATTGAGGTACCCATTCACAGTCCTACTCTCTGTAATTTGCCATCAGTCACCAAATGGTGAGAGGTGGACTTTGGATCTCATGCATCTATGAAGTCTAGGATGCTGGGCGTTGCAGGAGGGCTGAAGGGAAAATCAGTGGGCTCTCTGGCATGAGGACTGAGGACTCCAGATGAGCTTTTCTGGGGTGGGGGCTCCATGAAGCCAGTACATTGCAGGGAAGCTGGGTTCTGCTCCCATCAGGGATGATGGGCTTCTGGGATATGGCCAACCAGCACGATAATAGATTGGTGAACACATTCATGAATTTACGGGGGAGTCACTGCTTCTCTGAGGCTGGCATAGCCATACCTGCTTCCCAAGGAGCCATTCTTGGGATCGCATGCTTGGGAAATGAATGTGTTAGCAGCATGGGATTATAGGAAAGAAGGAGAAGGATGTGGGTCTCCACCTCACTGAGCTCTCGGGAGGAACCTGAAGGGCACTCACCTGAGTGGAGAGGATGCACCTACCCCACATCTTGTGGTTCAGACAGAGCACGGCACGTGCAGACCATGGTGCCCTCATCCATCCCCATTTTCTGTGTCCCTCCCATTCCTGCTACTTCTTCTTGGATTACTCTTCATCCATTGGGTTATGTTGAAGCGGTGGTTTTTCTTTTAGCTGAGTATCTCACTAAGCAGTCACGTATATGTCTGACCTCATCCATTGTGTCCTGATTTGTTAGATAAGCTACCAGGCTGGCTGCCTTGTTGCCCCCTCTCCAGGTTGATAGTCCAATGGCAGCAACAACATTAACAGTACTCCTTTGTTGATCATCTACTAGAATTGGAATCCAGGCCCTTTTGCCCCTTTACTGCTTCCTGCTCTGGTTGCTTCAGGGCAACAGTGTTTGAAGTTCATTAATAGAAACAAATGAAATGTAATTTAACACATCACTAGGACAAATACCATTCTGACACCAGATTTACAAAGGATATATAGCACTAATGATATACACAGTCCAAGCACGCATAGCTGTATATGAACAAGAAGAAATTAATATCCAGCAGGTGATAACAGAAAAAGCAGTTGCTTATCAAGTGGTATAAGGAAGTTCCTGGAGAAGGACATCATGCTTGGTAAATTAGAGGGTCAGCGAAAAAGCAGAAGACCCTCAACGAGATGGATTGACACAGTGGCTACAACAATGGGCTGAATCACTGCAGTAAATGTGAGGATGGTGCAGGACCGGGCAGTGTTTTCTTCAGTTGCCCATAGGGTCGCTATGAGTCGGAAATGACTTGGTGACACCTAACAGCAACAACAACAAGGAAGTGTCATTGGATAATGGAATGTTGCTGCTATTATTTGGAATAATAGAGAAAAAAACCTAAATATATTTACATAAAGGTCACAGATGTTAAGGAGTAAAATGATGTAAAGCACTGGCCTGCCTTCAGGCCTTCTGCATGATGCCTACAGAATTGAATAAAGCAGGATTCACAGCACCTGGCAAGGTGCACTGCCAATGGCTCTTGCTGCCTTACCTGTCCGAAATTCAGCAACTCCCTTCTGATCCCAGGAAATATTTTGAAGTCACTATTCGGTATTCAAAACATGTAAAGATGAGTGCAGCTGTGTCTAAATGGGGTCATGGAATAGCTTTAAGTAGCTGTGATACAACGCTGGAACAAATAGATCGCTATTAAGTGACTGAAGACACCATCAGCCTCCCGTAGTTGATGAATTGTTGGTCCTCACAGTGTCTGTATTAGTTATCAATACCTGTGTAACACGTTACACCAACACTCAGGTGCTCAAAACAGTGAACATCAGCTTGCTGTTTGTGTGTGTCAGGAATTTGGGGGCAGTGTTCCAGGTGATCCTGCCTTAGTGTGTCTCAGAGGCTGCAGGATGATGTCAGCTGCGGTTGCGGAAGGTTTGCTACTCTGACATGTGTAGCAGGTTATGTTAGCCATGGGATGGATGCCTCAGTTCCTCATCACTGGGCCTCTCCATAGGCTGCTCGAGTGTCCTCACAACTTGGCCACTGGCTTCCCTCAGAGCAAGAGATCCAAGAGAGAGCTAGGTAGAAGCCGCATGTCTTTTATGACCTAGGCCCCTAAGTCATGCTTTGGTCATTTCTGATGTATCCTATTGGTTACACAGGACACTTCCACTGAGGATAGGAGGAGATGATATAGAGGCATGAATCCCGAAAGGTAGGATCATTGAGGCCATCTTGGAGGCTGACTACCAATCTATATAAGACAAAAGATTGGTGAAGAAAATCTCAACTGCCTTCATTTCTCTCACAAATTGCCTAGAATATGTTTGTAGGCTCCAGGAATTGATGGAATACCAACTGAGATGTTTCAAAAAATGGATGCAGCGCTGGAAGTGCTCACTCGTCCATGTCAAGAAATTTGGAAGACAGCTACCTGGCCAACTGACTGGAAGAAATCCATATTTATGCATATTCCCAAGAAAGGTGATCCAACTGAATGCAGAAATTATCGAACAGTATCATTAATATCACATGCAAGTAAAATTTTGCTGAAGATCATTCAAAAGCGGTTGCAGCAGTATATTGCCAGAAATTCAGGCCAGATTCAGAAGAGGGCATAGAATCAGGGATATCATTGCTGATGTCAGATGGATTCTGGCTGAAAGCAGAGAATGCCAGAAACATGTTTACCTGTGTTTTATTGACTATGCAAAGGTATTCGACTGTGTGGATCATAACAAATTATGGATAACATTGTAAAGAAAGGAAATTCCAGAACATTTAATCATGTTCATGAGGAACCTGTACATAGATTAAGAGGCAGTCGTTTGAACAGAGCTAGGGGATACAGCGTGGTTTAAAGTCAGGAAAGGTGTGTGTCAAGGTTGTATCCTTTCAACCTGGTGGCGTAGTGGTTAAGAGCTATGGCTGCTAACCAAAAGATTGGCAGTTTGAATCCACCAGGCACTCCTTGGAAACCCTTTGGGGCAGTTCTACTCTGTCATGTAGCGTCACTGTGAGTCGGGATCGACTCAACGGCAACTGGTTTGGTTTGGTTTTTTATTCAATCTGTGTGCTGAGAAGATGGACTGTATGAAGAAGAACGGGGCATCAGGATTGGAGGAAGACTCATTATCAACCTGTGATATGCAGATGGCACAACCTTGCTTGCTGAAAGTGAAGAGGACTTGAAACGCTTATTGATGAAGATCAAAGACCACAGCCTTCAGTATGGATTACACCTCAAAATAAAGAAAACAAAAATCCTCACAACTGGGCCAGTAAGCAACTTCATGATAAACGGAGAAAAGATTGAAGTTGTGAAGGATTTCATTTTACTTGGATCCTCAATCAACACCCATGGAAGCAGCAGTCAATAAATCAAAAGACGCATTTGCAGCACATCTGCTGCAAAAGACCTCTTTAAAGTGTTGAAAAGCAAAGATGTCACTTTGAGGACTAAGGTGCTCCTGACCCAAGCCTTAGTGTTTTCAATTGTGTCATATGCACTCGAAAGCTTGACAATGAATAAGAAACACCAAAGAATTGAAGTCTTTGAATTGTGGTGTTGGCGAAGAATATAGAATATACCATGGACTGCCAGAAGAACGAACAAATCAGTCTTGGAAGAAGTACAACCAAAGTGTTCCTTAGAAGCAAGGATGGTGAGACTATGTCTCACATAGTTTGGACATGTTATCAGGAGAGATCAGTCCCTGGAGAAGGACATCATGCTTGGTAAAGTAGAGGGTCAGCGAAAAAGAGGAAGACCCTCAATGAGATGGATTGACACAGTGGCTGCAACAGTGGACTCAGGCCTAACAACAATTGTGAGGATGGCGCAGGACTGAGCAGTGTTTCGTTCTGTTGTAAATAGGGTCACTATGAGTCGAAACCGACTCGATAGCACCTAACAACAGCTAACAAAGATGTTTGTAGTATTCAATTAAATTTAAATACGTGAAATGCGTTTAGGATCCTAAAGTAACTTAAATGCTTAATTTAAATGGCATGGAATACCTTTTTTTTTAAGAAATACGAAAACATGGCATTTTCATGATGGAATAAGACCAGTATGAGCAAAGAAGTAGACCCTGTGCATAGATAATGCAGGGTCCAGTCAATAGCTGAGCATTTTGTGTTTGTTTATTTTTGTTTTGTTTTTTCTTTTAATTATTTGGTTTATAGACAGTACTAAAAAGATCATTTGAAAACTTTGGGTTCTACTTTGACCATTCAGTCAATAAAATGTTTGTTTTGTGTTAATAACATTTACTAGTTCTTTACTCTCTGATGATGATGATACTGTCATCACTGTAATGGCAATAGCTGCCCATTGCCTCCTGAATCTTCATCGTCTTCCTCTGAATTCTTTCCATTAGGGCTGAAGCAGCCATGAACGCACCCCATCTTTAAAAACAAACACTTTCTGGGATCCCATGCCACCATCCAACTCTGAAACAACCTTTTCTCCTTTCATAGCCTGGGTTTTAGAAAGATTTTCCACACTCTGTGACTTATCTTCCGTATTTTCTCTTCCTTCTCTAATCAATGTCTTCTGGCTTTAACCCCCACCATGCCACAAACCAGAAAAAGCAAACCACACCCACTGCCATCGAACCAATTCTGACTCATAGCGACCCTAAAGGACAGAGTAGAACTGCCCCACAGGGTTTCCAAGGAGTGACTGGTGGATTCGAACTGCCAACCTTTTGGTTAGCAGCCAAGCACTTGAACACTGCGCCACCAGGGCGCCATTGCTCAGCCATAAACCCAGTTTTCATCCTCAATGCTTCTCTCTCCTAAAT